TGCATACATGCCCAACTTCTGTTTCTGTGTTCCTTGACCAAGGAATTCTTCTTGCATGCCCTGTTCTGCACGTTGCTGCATGTGCATTCCTAGAACAGGCTGGCACACTCCTCCCGTGCTGTCACGTACTTTCCCTCATCCAGAAAGACCTCTGTCAGCTCGCTCTTTCTTTTCACTTTTTATTTGCTTTCTTTTAGGGAAAGAAATCACAAAGCATACCAACATCTTAAATTCTACAGGATCCGTGGGCGGAGCTGCAAGTAGGTGGCTGTCAGCACCTTCTAAACCACTATCACGTACCGTCAGCGGCGAGATTTTCAGTTCTACTGATAAAGAACGGGGCTGTGCACACCCCTCTTCCCATTTTTTACGTTAAGCCTGCAGAGGTTGGACAGGAGGGTTCGCCCCCGATCATGCCATGCCGGCCTCTTCCCGGCCTTTGGACTCACCGTAGTACGTACTTGCAGTCATGGACACGATCCAGAACGCCAGCGAAATACAAATGAGCAAGTTCAGGATGACCATATTCGCCATCATCTTGAGGTACTCTCTGAAGAAATCCTCCTGGTAACAGGGCATGGGAAGCCAGGGGGAGAACACCTGACGGGAAAACAAAAGGCGCAGCACATCAGCGACACTGCTACCGCCACCACCATCTCCTCTTCCTGCCGACCGGCGGGAGCCACCGCCGGGCCCGGCCCGCACCGTCCCCGCGGCGCTGCCAGGAGGCACCGAGGCGCTCATGGGGAGGCTCCTGCGGGCCCTGCTGCTCGGCTCGGGGCCGGGCTGGGCGATAAGTGGCCGGAGGCGCTCGCACCGCCCGGCACCGTCACTGACCTGCTCCCCCGATCGCCGACGCCGCCACCATCCCGCCCCGCGCCCGCGCCGCGCATGCTCCGCCCGCCGCCACAGCCACAGCCCCCGCCCGGCCCCGCTCACGCCGCCGCAGCCGGGCGGGAGCGGGAGCCGGGCGGGAGCGGGAGCCGGGGGGGAACGGGAGCCGGGCGGGAGCGGGAGCGGGAGCCGGGCGGGCCTGGGGGCTCTGCGGCTGCGCCCGGGCGGTGCCTGCGCTCTGTGCATGTCTCTGGAGATTTCTCCCCTCTCTGGCATAGGGATGGGGTCTTTGCCAGGCGCTGCCCATATAGATCCAGTTTGCGAAATAAAACCAGCAATGACACTCATGAAAAGCATGAAATCTGTTGAAAATTGTCGATACTAAAACAAAGAATTGTCAACTTTATATTGTAATTGTACTTAGCATAAGCAGGCCTTGTTTAGTATGACTTAGCAAATTCCAACACTTAAACAAATAGGCAAAACTGCTAGCTGCAAATAGGGAACTGCCCTTGTGCGAGAGACAGTTAACTAACTGTAGCTTCAAAAACACATAAACAGGCTTGGAGAAATAGATAGGTAACGAACCCTTGCTTTTAGGCACGCAGACAGGTGTTATCAAGAAAGCCAGAAAATATGTCTAAGGCCTAAGTAAAATAGAATGCTATTGTAACGTGTGCTTAACTGTTTGGTTTATCAGCTACTAACCATAGAAATGTAAGAGTATATGGCACTTATGATAAAACTGCTATATAGACCCACTGAAATTATGGAAAGGCAGAAGGCACATTTGTGGGGTTAACCCTGTGTCTTTGGCAAACAATCCCTTTGCTGGTTGATTCCTTTGAGTCAGTACCAAGGAGTGTCTGGATGAGGTTTGAAACTCATTGGAACACTGCAAAGTTCATTAGCACCAGAAGAAAGAGACTTGAAATGTTTCCTAAAGTTGCCTTGGGATGAAAACGAGCCAAACCTGCCTGATGGCTTTTCTTGGGGCATGCCAGAATTACTCTCAAAACACTCAAGTTGTAAATAAGCTGATAGTAGTTACAGGAAGGGCTCCCACTTGAACACATCAGAGGCTTTGTCAACAAAGCACAGAATGAGGTGAAACTCCACAGCTTTTCAAAACTCCATTATTTTGAGGCAGCAGCCTCAAACAAAAAATAAATAAGAAATAAATGAAATAATCAAGACTTTGAGTATCACAGAAGATGACGTAGAAGTTACGTATTCGGGATTTGTTCAGTGGAAGGTAGACCAGAACCTTCAAGTTTATAAACACTGGTACAGATGAATCATCTCATGAACATCACTAACCTCAGGTGCTTTTTGTTTGTGGACTTGTGGCAGCAGCAGAATATAATATTTATTTAAGTATTCATTGAGAGGCAGAGTAACAGGAAAAAGGGAAGTAAAAGATCTTTCATATACAACAGGAATAGTTTTTAAACTAGAAAATTCAAGTGAATATTCTTAGTTTAAGAGTTGATAATTTCCCTACTGAATTTAAGATTATTTCTGACTTGTTGGCACCCATTTATCTTTGAGGCATGTTCTATTATTTTTCATTCAGCCTCTGGAGTAGGTTTCTAACAGGATTTGAACACAGTCCAGGTTGTGGATTCTTTTGCAACAGAAACTTTGATATATTTTTGTGTTGTTGTGAAAAAAATACTCAGTTATCACTCAGAGCTTCTTCAGATGTTACCTAAACTAAGGACCATATTCTGCAAAGATTTCCAGATACCTGGTTTTAGCTGAAGACAGTAGGCCTATTCCAAAGGTAAAAGTTAACACCTGCGTGTTTACTTTGTATTTTCTCCAGGCAATTAGAACCAAAACTTGGAAGAGGTGCTTTAGACAAGGCTTTATCTTATTTCTGCTGTATTTATTGATAACAAAGACAGGTAACACCCAAATTTTATCTGAACTAGAGATCCCTAAAACATTAATACTAATGTAGTGGGACTAACTTTTGGTATATCTAGTCTGCCTTCTCACCTCCCAAATTTTTATTAAACTTCCATCTGAGCTCTGAATTTGAGATCTATGAATCAGGGACTAAGTAGCTGGGCTACTTTGTAAGAACAGGACACTTTTTGTAGCATAACACTGACATGACATTGCTTAGACACTCCTGCCAAAATCTAATTATCTGAAATTTTCAATCAGACCAAGATCAACTCTATTTAGACTGATGGCTGAACAAGCAGCTGCTTGTTCAGGTGTAACCAACTCCCATAAACTTACTCATTCAAATACACCCTTAACTGCAAATTGTGAAGTAGCACTTGGCACTGATTCAGGGATATGCCAGACTATTGTACTGGTTTATCCACAGACCTTGCATATTGGTTTAAAGCCAAAGGTGCAGGAGTTTACCTAAGTGAGAAAAGGAAAAGGGAGTACTGCTCTCCACGCCTGGTGTGAGAAAGGTGGTTCTGGTCATGAAATCTTTAACATCCATGGCATGAATAATATTGGCTTTGACTCCTTTCTCAGCTCTTAAGTCTTTTGTTAAATGTAACTTCATACATTCCTCTTCCAGTGGTTTTAATTGCCAATAAATTTTCCTGCAGTAGCTCAGTACACATTAAATGTTACAAGTATATTAGAAAATGAAAAAGGAAGGAACTTTAAGTTAGACTTCTTTCTGCATTTAGAAACTGAAAGAAGTAGCCACGGTTTTAAAAGTAATGTCTACAGCAGTTACTGTAGTTGGCCCATTGTGTTTACAGTCATCTTTTCTAGATGTTGTCCTTTTTTTACTAGGTCCTGTATTATTATAATAAGAATAATATCACAGCACTTTTAATAGGTAAAAGTTGGAATTTTTTTTAAATTTAAATGGCAATCTAAATGCTTGCAATAATGTGCATTCAGAATTAATGTATTTACAAAGCCATCCAAATTCACTAAGAAGAGTATTATGTATATTTAATACATGCAATATGTACATTTCATAATCAATTTTTACTTATGAAAACCCCACATTCCTCATTCATACCTAATAATATTGATAAGCTTGAGAATTAAAAAAATGGCAAGAAAAAGTTCCTTGAGACAAATAGACCTGAAAGCTTTTCCTCACACTTTCCCCTACAAATACATACTTGGAATAATAAAAATCTGAGAAATTAAATAAGAAAAAGATTGTCATAGCCATAAGCTGCTCAATATTTAGAAGAGTTTCTTCTTACCTTTTACCTAAATGTACAGGATGCAAAGCATGACCAGCGCAGTCTAGAAGGAGACAGGAATGTGAGATGATTAAAGGCAGCATGACAAAATGAAGATAATAACATGTTACTGCACAGAGCATGCTAATCACTCTTTTATACGCATTCTTTTCCCAGGAATACATTAGAATTTAGTCGATTTGCCATAACACAGCATAACATTTCCAAATTTTCATGAAGATACAAAGATCTTAGAAGTAGATTTTCTGGGTTTTTTTGTTTTGTTTTGTTTTTCTTTTTCTTTTTGTTTTGTTTTTTTGGGTTGGTTGGTTTTTGTTTGTTTGTTTTGGGGTTTTGTTGTTGTTTTGGTTTGGTTTTTTATCTCTGAGATAGCACTTTCCATTCCTCTTTACTGCTTAAAACATTATTCATATTTGTGCTTGATAGAATGCATTATGAATAATATAGACTGAAAGTGAAATACTAATTTAAACATCTTCTATTCTCCATTGTTAAACTTGTCTTTTCAAGTGATTGAAGACAAAACACTGTTAAATGCATGAAATTAAAAATCCGGTAAATATTGTTAACATTGTACTAAGTATAGCTGTTTGCAAGGGCCTTGAATAATATTCACACTCATAGAAAAGAAAAATAGTAAGACTGTATAATTTTATGCTTATAGTATCATTAGATAGTTACGAAAAACAGAAGGGAAAAAGTAATACTGCAGATAAATATTTACCTAAAGTAGAGCATCCATAATTAGTAGTCGCCTGTGAAAATACCAATGAAATTTCAAACAGTAATTTTCATTCCAGAGGAGTTGCTATGCAGATGAATTCATATAATTTTTGAGGCAGTCAAAAATGTCTGTAATTAGCACTATAGGGAAACTATTCATAGCAGGATTTGTGGACTATAAAGCAGCAAATGAAGAGTAAATATACAACTGTCTCACTGAAAAAGAACAGAACACAGAAAGAAGCTTTAAATATTATATTTATTAAATATGTGTGGACAGGCTTTAGCTTTGTGTCAAATCAGTTTATCAATGACACCAATTAAATTTATTCATAGTAACCTAAAATGTTTTGACATTTTCAGAGTATCCAAAGTATTACTTTGCTTTCCAAAATTGATTTGGTATTTCAGTGAGTGTATCCATTTCATTTCAAGTTAAGCATTTTGTACAGTGTGTTGTCAACATTATTCTCATCCCAAATTCAAAACACAACACTGTACCAACTACTAAGAAGAAAATTAGTTCCATCCCACCCAAAACCAGGATAGCGTTTTACTTATTTCAGTTCATGTGATTAGATTAAATCAATTCTATACGCTTTTCTCGTTGAGATTCTGGGATACTTTCAGAGATATAAATCCATCCCTTCTGGTCTCACATTTTCTCAGTTGGAAATACTTTAGGATGGCATTATATATCCTGAGACTACCCAGGATAGTTTTCTGATGAAGTAAGATTGTCTTTTTTCTGGTCATTTACTACACATGACCTACCTTTTTACTATTTGTTTACACTGTATTTTTCTACTTCAGCAAGAAATTCAGGAAAGGACCAATATATTGAAAGCAGCAGGTGTTCAGGCTTCTCATATTTCTAGTATATTTTTATTTTACACAAGGAAATTAAAGAGATTGATCTAGTTTGTAAAAATAAGGTAATGAAAAAAAAAAAAGGTTCAGCAATGGGTAATTCAGTAATGAGGAAGAGTAACAGTAAGGCAGGTAAAGATCTGAAAGGACCATGCACAAGCAATCACCATCTTCAGTCATAGGCTTGCCAAGATGGTAAAGAGGCTTTAAAGTTGCTGAGAGAGGGGAACCTCTATCCATCCCACTCCTACCAGTTTGATGCCAGTGCCAGCGAGAGATGCCCAGAGTCTGGAGAAGGATCATAGGTCATCACGAGAGCAGCTGAAGAGCAGAACAAAGGAATTCCAGCCACTCCAGCCAGAGAGTTGGCTTCATCAAGGGGTCCAACTGACGTGGCTTCATGCAAACTGATGCCTTAAGCCCATAATGATTTTTTATTTTTCTACCTTATAAGTTTTATAGGTAATAGAAATAGACTTTGGAAACCCTTTCTCCCTCCTCCCTGTAGCACCCCTCAGTTTATACATTCCTTAATCCTCTCACCCTATCCCCATATCTAGTAGATGATGTTTTGTCTCTTGTCAAGGCAACCCTGTCTTGTTTGGAGAACGCTTGTATCTTGGCCTAAACCGCAAGACAGAGTCAAAGAACTGGGTCACCCTGCTCTCTGTACGCTGAAGATGAGGAAGATGATGAAGAGGGGGTCCCAAAAAGCACCCCAGACCCAATTCCGAGGGGTGGGCCAGAGGGTGGACCAGGCCAAAAGTTATAGGGTGGACACACTTAGGATTGGCCAAATATTGTTATAAATGTAACATCCCGGGCACAGCCCAGCGCGCGTCGTGTAACATCTTTTTGCCTTGGCATAATTAAACCCTTTCTTATCTCACCCCAGCTTACGGCTCCTGAATTTTTTCGTAGCACCAGCTGAGCAGGCATCAAAACACTCACAGCATGGGGAATAAACAAGAGGAGATAGAGACGTGCACTCACCTGCAGGGCTACAACCTTACTGGAATCATGGAGACATGGTAGAGACAAGACTGCAGTGTTGGCATGTAAGGATATAGACTCTTAAGGACAGACAAGGGAGATGAAGAGATGGTGTTGCCCTCTTGTGAGATCCTGGATCTGAATCTCACTGAATTATTGATATGGGTCGGAACCAACTCACTGTTTGCCTCTAGGGAAGGGCTGGGCCAGGACCTGCAGGTACGTAGCAGAGCTGGAAGGCCGGCACATAAGGCCTGTGCTGAGGGCACAGGGCAGAGCTGGAAGGCAAGGCCTGCTGCCCACGCAGAGCACATGGCAGAGCTGAAGGCCCTGCAGCTGGGCTGTCGGTCAAGGCAGACCTGCCTGGTAGCCTGCCTACACCACACCCCTGCAGCCTGTGACTGGCTACAGCACACCTCACTCTGGCCTGGAAGGATATCCTGCCTGGGAGGGAAAACTAAACTCTATAAATACATGAGATTCCATGTGGTGTCTCTCTGTCTTCTCCCTCTCCAGCTGGCACCATGTCAATCATTGAATCTTGTTGGTAACTATTTTCCTCTCCTTTCTCCCCTCCTCCTTTCTTTACCCCTCTTAATCTGTTTTCTTCTGTTACTCTTTTCCTTTTCTTGAGGGTAACTTAAAACCAATGAACTGTGTTTTACTAAAGCTAATATATGAATTTAGTGGGTGTTTCCTGCGGAATGGGTCTTTGTGCTGCATGTTTTAGTGATATGCTTTTCTTCTTGGTTGTATTTTACTCCTGTAAAAACCTATTGCCAAAATATCTCATTTTTCTTACTACATTAAAAAGAACTTCTCTTAGAGAAGAGTGTGTGACTCTTTCTGTGGATGCTAATTAGAGGTTATAACAAACCAAAAGGCTTTTTAAAAAGTCTTAAATAAAAATGTAACCGCTTTGGGCAATTTATAGCTTAATCTGGAGCGCAACACCTCTGTCAATGACCAGTTGGCGTGTGTGGAGCTCCACCTGCGGATAGATGAGGAGCTGACTGAGAACTTATGGGTCAGGATTAAAGGCAGGGCAAGGACAGGTGACATTATAGTTCGGGTTTGCTACAGGCCACCTGACCAGGAAGACCAAGCAGATGCATCTCTCCTGTCGTGGGTTGACCTTGGCTGGATTCTAGGCACCCACTAAAGTCACTGTGAGCTGGTAGAGGTCACACAGGCAAAACAAACTCAACATGGGGTTAATACTAAAATTTATTACTAACAGGATAAGATCTAAAGAGTGAGAAATAAAACAGTCTTAAACACACTTTCCATCCACTCCTCCTTCCTTCCATTTTCTCCCTCCCCCCCCCGCAGCGGGGCAGGGAGACAAGTCCACCCCCTCGGGCAACAGGTCTTCCAAATCTGCTGTCCTGTAGGTCACTCTTCCATAGGCTACAGGGGAACAGCCTGCTTCACCATGGTCCTCACCATGGGTTATGGGGGGCCACAGCTCTGAGTCCTTCCCCTTCTCCGTGGGGTCCCTCCCACAGGTTACAGTCCTTGATGGACCTCTCCAATGTGGGTCCACCCCTCAGGCAGTAGTTCTTCCATATCTACTGTCCCGAGGGTCACTTTTCCGCGAGGCGTGGGGGGGGGGTGTCTCTGCACCCTGATGGTCCTTCATAGGATGCAGTCCTTTATAGGGTGAGCTGTACCGATGTGGATCCCCCACAGGGCCATGAGTCCCACCTGGGAATAACCTCCTCCGGTGTGGATTTTCCTCTCCACGGGCCACAAGTCTCTTGAAGGATCTGCTCCATCCTAGGCCTTCACAGGGGGTAACAGCCTTCTTCCATGTGTCCATCTGCTCCAGCATGGGCTTGGCTGCACCATGGCAGGCCACTCTGGCCCCGGCCCGGCTCGACTCGGCCAGGAGGGAAGGGAGGGCAGTGCCCACTGGCAGGGGTCACTCTGCTGCGCTGGTCTAGCTCACGGGGCACTCCCCTCCACCCCTCACTTTGGGGGCTTTGGCGCTGTCGGTGCTGTTCGGCTCCTCGGGCAGGACGGGATCCAGCATGGGCTGCTCATGGGGCGGGCCCAGGGCTGTGGGGCCGCTCTCTGCAGGGCCGCACACGCTGGCCCCGGCCCCGGCTGCCCCTTCGGACTTCAGCACGAGCTGCTCATGGGGCGAGCCCGGGGGCTGCAGGGCCGCTCCTGCGTGCCCCGGCCCCAGCCCTGGCCGCCTCTTTGCAGAGGTCGCCGGTGCCTGCTCCGGGCTAGGTGCCGAGAGGCCCGAGTTGAGCTGCTGCTACCTTCCCCTTCCCCCCGTCCCCCGCAGCGGGGGAGGCGGCGGGGCTGCCCGAGAGCTTCGGTCAGATCTCCCCTCGCTCGAGAATTCTTCCGCACAACAAACTTGTTCTTAAATATGTTATCACAGAGGCGCAATTATCGACTCTCCCTTGGGAAGCATCAGGAAGTCCCTCCTGTAGCCAGCTATCATTGGCTTTACTGGGGGGGAAGCTTCTAGCAGCTTCTAACCAAAGCCACCCTATGTACCCCCCCCACTACCAGATAAAACCCCAGCCACCTCCATAGACAGATAGGACCGACCTCATGTTCATGGGAGACTTCAACCATACCAGTATCTACTGGAAGGACAACACAGCAGGGCATAAGCAATACAGGAGATTCCTGAAGTGTGTTGATAACTTCCTTCTCCAAGTGATAGAGGAGCTAAGAAGGAGAGGTGCTTTGCTGGACCTTGTTCTCACCAACAAGGAGCACCTGGTGGGTCACGTGAATCTTGAGGGCAGCCTTGGCTGCAATGACCATGAAAGGGTGGTGTTCAAGATCCTTAGGGCTGTGAGGAGGGCACACAGCAAGGTCACTGCTCTGGACTTCAGGAGAGCAGACTTTGGGCTCTTCGGGGTTCTGCTTGGCAGAGTACCATTGACTGGCATCAAAGCTGCATCTTCGCTCTTTATCACTGTATGAGGTAGAGCATAGTCTATGCTGACAGAATAATAGCTATGCAAGGGAACAGGATTGGCTGGCTTTTAGATTTAGATAACTTTTAAATGATTCAGAATCATTAACTTACATACATTTTTATCCTGTGAAAACACATGTCCTTCCACATCTGCCTCAATACACATGGGTGTAACTTGTAATACATAATGATTCAAATCAGCAGTTTGACCTGTTTAGGCAGACTGAGAAGAAGTGATGGAACTATGCAGATATATATTTTTTCCACATAGATCATAGTTCAGTTTTAGGATCCTGTTCTGGTTTAAGCCCAACTGGCAATTAAGAACCTCGCAGCTGCTTGCTTACCTCACCCCCAACCCCGGTGGAATGGGGAGGAGAATCAAAAGTAAAACTTGTAGGTTGAGATAAGCACAGTTTAATCATTGAAACAAAGAAAAATATATCAATAATAGTAAATAATAATAATAATGATAATAAAAAGTAAAACAAGTTATGCACAATACAATTGCTCACTACCTGCTGGCCAATGCCAGACCCAATCCCTGAACCCTCACTGGCCCCCCTTCCAGGTAACTCCCCCAGTGTATACACTGGGCACGATTGTCTATGGTGTGGAGTACCCCTTTGGCCGGTTTGGATCACCAGCTATGGTCCCTCCCAGGTGTTCTTTGTTGCATACCTCCTCACTAGCAGAGCATGACACACAAAAAAATCCTTGGATAAACACAACTTAGCAACAGCCAAAACACCAGTGTGTTATCAACATTATTGGTATACTGAATCCAAAACACAGCACTGTACCAGCTACTGAGAATTAACTCTATCCCAGTCTAAACCAGAACAGATCTTTACCAAAAGAACTATGTCACATTTACCTTTATGGTGTTAGCAAACAATTCTGGTAAATACTGCTGAAGATTATTTTCTTGTTCTCCTGACTTCAGAGATCCACTCAGTGTCATAAATGGGTATTGAAGCCCCAGAAAACCCTGTCACTGTACACAACACTCTAAGATAGCACGATTGTTTTAGTCTCTGAAAAAAAAGTTTTGAATAGCGAGGGGGTTCGGGGTGGAAAGCATTCTTAATCTGTGAAAGGAATCTTCATTTATTCCCTAGCATGATCATAACAAACATAAGCAAAATGGGGTGCTCTGCTTTTCCATATAATATGAGATCCTTCAGTTTTGGGATAGGACATCATTATAACAACAGGAGGTTGCCAAATCTTGCTACATTTGTTATATTTTCTTGATGACATTGACATTGGGTAATATGGATGCAGAAATGAGAATTACTTGGATTCAAACAAAATTGTCCCAGAAGAAATCTTTAAGAAATAATAAAGAGTAAATATTTTTGATATCCAGGATTATTTTAGTAGAATGGGATCATGATTTTTTAAAATATATTTTGCACTCTTCTGTCTTGAGACTTCACCAGCCTGCTTTTATGTTAATTATTTGAGACTTCCACCTGTAAATCTGTTCAACTATCTGGAATTCATCCTAAATGTTTAATTTCTCTTATGTCAGCCACTGATTTAGAGGTAAGCCTTAGGCATGCTGGAGCTGTTCCAGTCCTTGTACTTTTTTTAATGCAAAGTACTTGCATTAAAATAACCTTTTTTTTTCCCTAAAGATTCAAACCCAAAAGAACTTTTGTCAAAGGCTTTGAAAACAAGAAACTCAAGAACTCTTCTAGAGTCAATACTGCCACATGGACAGCTTCTGAATTTTTTATTTTTTTTCCTGAAAACTGATCTTACAGTTCCACTAGAAAATGCTCACATCCAAAATATAACTAATAAGGAAAAATTCTCTGTACAATAATTAGGCCACTGGTAGCTGTTGGCTGATGTAAGGTACTGAAACTTTTGCAGAAATGGCTCATGACATGAGGTTCAAGGGTTCATTGTCTTGGGACACTTGTATATATGAAAGTTAAGTTGAGCCTATGGAAGTCACTTTCTCCTATTAATTAAAACAAGGAGATTCCTGCAATGTGTCCTCCCTCTGAAGTCAATTGACATTAGGGGAACTGAACAACAAGTAAAGAAATTTTTCTTTCTCTGTTAACTAAAAGAGAACACTTTGATGATAAATTTATAATGCTAATAAAAAAGTAAATAGCAGCTGGGTGCAGATGAAGCACTGACCTCTCAGGAATTGACATTGCTTAATTATAAACTTAATTTCCAGATGTATTTGGACTGCCCTGAGGAGATGTTTCCAGGAAGTCCCTAGCGAGTGGGCTAGTCTAAGCACCAGTTGGCCTTGAGGGACTGTATCCAAGCCCACTTACTTAGCAGCACAGCCAAAGTCAAATATTAACCTTCTGTACCTTAAACTGGGGCCTCTGTGACTGCCATCACCTTCCACTTCTGTTTTCTTGTCAAGTTAAGGTTCCTGAGCTTTCCTGAAGATAGCATAAAGAAAAGATGTTTGGAACTGGACAAAACACTTGAAATTCTTTCATT